GGTATAAATGAAAGGTGGTGGATTGGCCAGTTGGTCATGATCGACTCTGAGCTGGACCAATTACAGCCGAGGAGGTCGAACTTTAAAGTTGAGGTGAAAAGGAACGCGATTTGTGCCGTACTACTTCAGCTAGAAAGTTGCTAATTCAATCATGAAACTGATCAATGATCAGCTGATCGGCTTTTCTCTGCGCCAGAAACAGATAACCGGCGGAGGTCGGGCTAAACAACAGCAGCACGTTTAAGCTTGATCAGCTGTTGTTAGAATTTCTTCAATATTAATAATAATGTAGATTATTAAAATGCTCATTGTTCATCAAGTTCAAACTCTAGTCCTTGGGGGGCCAGTATCCTGAATGATTATCTAGGGATAAGTGGAAGGTACAGATGACTCTAACATAATATATAATTAATAATATCTAATCTAATTATTATATAATAAATACAATAAAATATTTTATTATAAAATCTATATATATTATAAAATAGAGATAATAGCTAATATTAGTAATAGTATACTAGTAACATTATATCATTACATCATAATATATCATATATATAATATATAAATATATGTGGGTACAGATCTAACATAATATATTATGTTAGATTATAATTATTATATAAACAAATTATAATCTAACATAATATATTATTATGTTAGATTTTTAGGAGGTAAAGACTTCAGAGCAGGTGGACACTGGACAAGTTTAATGACATCATACAGAACAGTGTCAGTGTATGCACGATGAACATATCCTCTTTTAAAATATCCAAAATGTTCTGGCAGAAAAAAGACGTCTATCTACAGTCCAGGTAAAATCCAAAGTATAAAAATATATTACAAATCTCCTGTATTTACAAAGACTGCTTCTCTCTACAGTTACAGCTGTCAGTTTCCAGCCTAGTTGTGTTACTTACACTTACATACACTCAGTAAAGTCAGCACCTAATGTAGAAAACACTGGAGGCTACACGAATCACAACAAACAAGTCCCTCTACGTCCCACCGACGAGGGAGCGACAGCCGAGGTCACCACGAGCCGCTCAGAAGAACATTCTGCAAGAGAAACGGTAAAAACATCAGAGCTGTTTTCTTTTTCTGTCAGCATCTAAAAGCATCTTTGCAGGCGTACCTGTAGATGTTCGGGTCCAGGAGGACAGCCGTGTCTGAGGGCAGCTTGGACAGATGAACCACCTTGGTCTTCTGCTGCACTCTGTCGCTCTCGTTCACCCACACGTCGGGCAGTCTGACGCGAACGACAACACGGTTACACTAACATGCATGTTTAACACTGTGGGTTCCCCCACTCAGCCTGGCCTGTTCTGTGTAACTGAAGCTGGGGAGGACTTACATGTCCTCAGGTGTCCAGTGCAACAGGACCTTCACTTTCCCAGAGTCCTCCTTCCTTTTGGCAATTACCTGAACACGCACAAAACATGGCATCACACCTGCACAGGACTTTGTGTGTTTGCTATGTGTGTGTCTGTGTGTGTGTGATTACCGTGCTGTGGAAGACTACACTGTGTCCATTACCCAGGCTCTCGATGTGTGTTGCTAGATTGAGAAGGATGGCTCGGTGGCGGATGGCGTCCATGGTCTGAGCGTCAAAGAAGTCGTGAGGTCGTGCTAGAAAGACGAAACGATGAATTCATTTAACGTGTGAACCTGGAGGGACGCTGTGCGTGTGTGCGGTACGTACGGAGCGAGCGCCTGTGCTTGTTCTTCAGCTTCCTCCTCTTGTTGAGGCCGGCCTTGGATGGAGATTCCTCTTTGACTTTACTCTGGCTGGACATTTTGGACGAGCTCTGGGAGCTGAAGTGCGTGGGGACGTGGCGTGCGAGCCCCCCCTGGGAAGCAAACGTGGCGTTGCAGCCCCCGACTACACACTGGAGGAAACACAGACATGAGTGTGCGAGCGAGGCAGACTAACAGACGCGGTGACGTGCGTGACGTCAGCTGTGTGCGATCACCTTAAAAGGTTTGTCTCCACTGTGGGTCAGCATGTGTCTCTGCAGCCAGCTCTGGCTGGTGGATGGCGTGTTGTAGACTTTGCAGCCCTTCCACAGACACACAAACACCTGTGGGCACAAACACAAAGACACATTACTGCGGCAGAGCTAGAGCTGCACACTAACATGCACCGCGCATTAGTGCCGACGTCTGACCAGGTTTACACGAGCGATAACGAGACCGTCCCCTCACTACAGGCTCTACCATATAAAGCACCTTGAGGCGACTGTCGTCGTGATTTGGTGCTATATAAATAAAACTGAACTGAATATTAAAAAACGTCATCAAATTTAAAAATGTGTGCATGCCTGTCATTAGCAACACGTTAGCAGGATTCAACCAATCAGTAACCTCGATAAACCAGAAGCTCCCAGCAAGACAACTTTAGTTTGGGTTAGCCAGCAAACTGCTGACGAGCCGCAGTAATGCATCTAAGGCTGTGTTCGTTTATGTTGTCCTCTTCTTTCTTCTGACCAACAGAAACGCATTTCCTGCTGGAATAAATCAAACCTCCACGTCAATCAAACATCTTTATTCCAGTTTTGCTTCTCTCCTTGTGTTTGGGATCAAACTGACTGGCACAAAGCTTTAATAGAGCAAATATCAGTCCAAACACAACCAGCCGGTTTTACTCAGGAGGTGGTGAACACTGAACCCCACGTTCACACCGGGGGTGAATGAAACGTGCTGGTATGAAGGCAAATAAACGGTGTCGCTTAAAGTCTACCCGAGTGCTAAATAAATACTGTGTGTACCTTCATTACTTATGCATTATTACACACATTACACGATACTAAGAGGAAGTTCTCTTCTCTTTTTCTGCAGGGAGGTGGGTTAGAAGACAGAAAATGACTGAAAACAAACCAAATTCACACTTCCTCTTTCTTTGTGGGCATTAGCACTTTTTATTTTCTGAACAGTGGCGGTTGCCTGGTAGAGCTCATGACTGCTTAACCAAAGGTTGTTACAGGCAGCTCAGTGTAACTCAAACACGTCGCGTCGATCAAAACTACTCTGACGTATGAATCGAGCACACAGCTGAAACTCCAGATCACATGTTGGTCTGTTGAACCTCGTTTTGAGTCCAGACTCCATTTTCACCATCTGCTGTTTCTGACTGGAACCTCTGGTTTGACATTACGATGGCTCGCCTGGCCTCTAACCACCCATCTGAAACCAACACACACAGTAACGTGTCACTGACCCCGCCTCTCTGTCCATCCACATGTGTTGCTCTGATGTGCTCAGCCAGGTCAGGGCTGCTGGGAAACAGCAGCTGGCAGTGATCCCAGCAGCAGGTGTAGCTCAGAGATTTGCCCCCTGCCACCAGTGAACCACTCCCTGCTACTCCACCTGTGTGACCGTTCAGCATAGCGGGGGTGGAGCGACCGCTGGACGCTGTGCTCTCCATGTCCATCAGAGTGGAGCTGATACTGAAACACACACAAAAGACGAGAAATCAAAATATGATCTGACAGAATGAAAATAAATGCATGTCAAGTATTTTATTTCACTCGTCACCCAACTGATGGGTGGGGTCAGTGCAGGATGAACCACTAAAACCAGTTTAGGAACAGAGCCTTCTCCACAGCTGTCACCCCCCACGGGTGACAGCTGTGGGTGACAGCTGTGGTCTGGGAGAGAGTCTGTAACTCTGTCTGCAAATACAGTAAATAATGACCAATGTTGGGCAATTAATTATATCAAATCAAAATTTATTTATATAGCACATATTAAAAACAACAGTGTTGACCATAGTGCTTCACAGTCAATAAAAACATGAGACAGTTAAAACAAACAATAGAAGAGGACAACAAACAATAGGTAACAACGCAACAAGCTAAAACAGCCAACTAGACAGAATCAAAAGCCAAAGTAAAAAAATAAGTTTTAAGACGTGATTTAAAAGACTGGATCGACTCGGCAGTGCGAATATGAACGGGGAGGTTATTCCAGAGTCTGGGTGCCACGGATGCAAAGGCCCGGTCGCCTCTCGACTTCCTTCGAGTCCTAGGTTGTGCTAGGAGCCTATGGTTGGATGATCTAGTTACTTCTTTAAAAAAGTTACTGAGTTTTGCAAACAACAAAGTGTTTTGCAGCTTTTACCTAAAAATGCAGCCAAGACGTTTTTAAACAAACATTTCAAACTATTTACAGAACAATCAGCTGTTCTGCATCAAATCTGATGCCACACAAATTATTTGTGTCACAAAAAATAATTTGTGTCCACTATGAGATGAAGGAGAACAACAGCCTGATACCTGCAGGCCTGACAGCAGCAGATGTGTCACAGCTGTAACACCTGTAACACTCAGCAGGCGCCTCATTGTTCTGACACACACAACACTACTGACTACACTACACACTAACTACACACTCACTACACACTAACTACACACTAACTACACAAGATTTACGCTGAACGTCGCAAACATCTCACATCTCAAACACTCCGTCACTCCTAAAACTTCCCCCCGTCCTAAACAACTAAATGCCATGTTGCCATTTTTTGATTGGCCCACATGGTACATTTTTCCACCAATAGGAAAGGCTGGTGGGTTTTTGGCTCACAGGCTTTCGAGCGTTTTCCTTATAAAACGCAGTTTTTACCGTTTCTCCCTGCAGTAAATATAAACAACGACAGTATTCAGGAAGAAACAAACATTGCAGATATTTTATCATAACTCTGGTTTTACGTGGCCGATCAACACAATTTACAAACTGGTATAAAGTCCACACTTTGTCCGTCAGTTGTTCCGTCTGTCCTGTTCACATCTCCAATGGTTGGACACGTTGTCATTAACGTGGCTTCACTCCACATCAGCCGCTTTGCTAAAACACCGGCACATAAGGACGCTGTCTGTCAACCACGTTGATTAGCTGCATATATACGAATGTGAATCGCATCATTGGCTGGACTGTGGGATAAGGAGGCATCGTTCTGATCCCATACGGGAGCAGCCAGTCACTGACTAACACTGCAGAACAGAATTGTTGACATATTAATTTAATTTCAATTCAGGTAATTTTTTTTCTGTGCGCAGAGACGCCAGCAGTGCGCACGCGCGCAGCTTAGAGGGAAAATTGACCGTGAGTCCAGAAGATTTACAAAAACTCTTAAAACTCGATGAATATTTATCTCAATATCCAAACTATCCAATACTAATGTGTAGGAAAACTGTCTGACACCACATCAGACAGTAGAGATTGACAGACCACGTGACTTTCGTGCATTGCATGCCGGGAACTCGTGACAAAACAATCCAAGTACCGCATCAAATGCAAGCATTTGCAGCACCGCAAAACGTTCATTCTTCGGTTCCAATAAATTCCTGCTTTTTCTTTGCCCCCCAAAAAGGTATGTACAAAACGAAGGAGAACAATGCCGGTCCGTACAAAGACAGACTTGATGAAAAGTCAAAGAAAAGATACGAGGAAAAAAATCAAAGGAG